CTGCTCATAAATCAGGTACTTCTTCCCCTGGAAAAGTCACTGAATTCTTCAACTTTATGACTTCTACTTTTTAAAAAATTTGTTTTCCAATATAATAACCTCCTCTGATAGCACCAAGTCCCTTAGAGGAAAATACACATAGCTCAAACACCTATGCTGCTCTTATAAACCTTTTGCTTCTGCAATTAACAATGGGCCAGAGATAAAGGGGCGAACCTAAGATTTTTCCAATGGGTGCAAGTTTGTCATGGGTACCATAGGATGGTTTCAGGGATGGTGCTAATTATTTTGCTGCTTGTAGGTATCTTACCAGCAACTCATATAATCCCAAACATTATGATCTGTTCCTGTGAATCTGTAGAGAACTAACTGCTTTTTTCCCAAAGCTAGAAAAAGCAGAAGCAGGAGTTCAACTCAGCTCTGTCTGGTGTCCAAATCTAGGCTTTTCTCACCATTTCAATTGACCCAAGATAGTGCTTGTCTGATCTGTTATGGATATGCCTACGTAACAGTTTCCCACAATTCTTCTATAGGTGTCCTTAGCTATTGGAGCCTCAGAAAACCCATTTTAATGCCACTTCTCTCTCCTGCTTAGTATTGCTACTACTTCCTGAAAGAGCCTATTCTCTCAGCAGCTGGTGATATTTCATTTGATTAACACCCTGGGACCGATCACCAGACTTAAAGATGATGCCTAATTAACTGCTTACATTAAAGAGATGGCACTTTCTGCATTTGGTTCACACTTCCAGCCTCAATCATGTTTTCGTTTCAGCAATAATATTTACATGATTAGCAAATAGTCAATTCATACTCTGGTGTGGACCTAAGCTGTGTTTGGGACTTCCCAAAGCAGATGTCCTTGACAGGTGTAAAGAAATAGGCTTTTTTTCATAGCAAGAGTCATAAGCAAGATCTTCTGCTCATTTGTCAATGAAAAATTATGTTTGGATCAAGAAATATTAGTTGAGCACTGACCTAAGTGCCAGTCATTATATTTCCAAGGCCCCCATACGCCCTCACTAAATAATCATATTAGACTCATCTCAGTTTTGTTATCCTTTTTCTTTCTTTCATTATATATTTATTTATAAATTTATTTATTTAGATGCATAGATTAGGAAAAGGCATTCTACATTAGACATTCGAAGTTTTAAAAGGCATTTGCAAAGGTCTCTCAAGTCATTTTCATGCAAAACCCAGAAATACATAGCCTTAATGATACTACAATTAAGTAAGCTTGTGATGTTAAATGATCCCCAAGATGTGAATAGACATTGAAGGAGCACAGAGAGTTTCACCCCAAAATAGGGCTCACTGATATAATGAATGTTTTGAATTGGAAACCCTTTGAAATCAATAGGCCTTGGAAGAGACTTTTCCCCTTCTTCGTAAGGATTAGATGGAATCACCAAGATGAACAATTGCTTTTCCTTTCTTTCCTTATAATCTTATCATCTATTTCAAGAAGGGAGAGGAAGAAGGTAACCGGACCAGGCCCAGCCTTTTTACAAAACAATGTCTGTCTCTCAGGTTCATTCAACTTCCAAAGAGAACCACGAGTCAATCACTGTTCACCACCCACCTGCTCTGCAATCCACTAATTCTCCCAAGTCTTCATTCATTTTTCTCGGTAATCATTTAATGCCCCTCAACAGAATTACCTATATTCTCCATGTTCCGCCTTGCCTCTAAAAGGTTATATAAGTGTTTGGGCCTCATTGGGATATTGGGAAATCACTCTGATTCTCCCTGTGTGCATGGTTAAATACATTTGTATGCCTTTTCTCTTATTAATCTGACTTACCATAAGTTGATTTTTCAGTGCACCCTCTGAGGGCAAGAGGGAAGATTCCCCTTGGCCCCAAATCCCTTGGCCCCAACAAGGTCAAACTGGAAAGATGCAAAGTGCCACAGGGCTATTCCTTTCTTTCTTTTTCTCTTTTCTTTTCTTTTTGAGACAAAGTCTCTCCCTGTCACCCAAGCTGGAATGCAATGGCATGATCTCAGCTCACTGCAACTTCCATCTCCCAGGTTCAAGCGATTCTCCTGCCTCAGCCTCCCCAGTAGCTGAGATTACAGGCACACGCCATCAGGCCTGGCTAAGTTTTTGTATCTTTAATAACATACAAAAATTAATAGAGACGGCGTTTCACCATGTTGGCCAGGCTGGTCTCGAGCTCCTGACCTCGTGATCCTCCCACCTTGGCCTCCCAAAGTGCTGGTATTATAGGCATGAGCCACTGAGCCTGGCCCTATGCAGTATTTTTAAATCAATAATTTGGGTAATGATATAGAAAAGCAAGATTATACCTTCAGGTAACAGGAATTTGGAAGGGAGAAGCCAGCATTTTGGATGACAAAGTTCTTGACAGACTGGATAATGGGTTGAACCATAATGTCATTAAATTTAGTAGGAACAAATGCCAAAAAACCACCAGCACAAGTACTAGATGGGGAAGATGTGGCTTCATGGCAGCAAGGGTGGAAAAGACTTGAGAACTGCACTTACACGAGACAAGCTTATATGAAACAATGGTGTGATGTATGGACCAAGTCCCTAACACATCTGTTTGGTTGCACCTGTAGTGTACCAAGGCTTAGGATGGTGAGAGCTCTGCCCTCACTTTTGCTAGTCAGCTCGCTCTTAGATATTACATTCTGTTCAGTTGTAGGTAGGTTTACCAAAAATGATATTCTAATAAGAACACTTTTGAGAATGAAGGAGTTCCTAGTAATAATTAAGCTCAGAAAATAGCCATAAACTAAGATCCCTGGACACAGAGGACCTATGTTAGCTAGTTATAAAAGATGTAGACACATTGGAGGATATTTGGAGGAGAGGCTCAAGGAAAGGAAAGTTCTCAAAGAAACAGACTATGATAAAATTAAAGGGGTGTTCAGCCTGGAGAAGAGTAACCTGAGGTTTATAAGAAAGTTTTTTTTTTTTTTTTTTTTTTTTTTGAGATATTTAAAGGCAACAAATGGAGGAGGGATGGGGCTTGTGAATTATGGGTCTTAAAGTATAGAGAAAATTACAGCTTCTCAGGCCAGCTCAAGGGGAAGGGAATGAAAAGCCAATCTCCAACCCTAGATGTTACAATTTTATAAAACAAATTTGGAGTGCTTACAAGACACCAAATCTCCAAACTGCACCCCCACCCCAATTCCAATTCAATGATGACTATTTTCTGTTGTTGTTCTAACTGTTTCCAGAATGGACCCTATGAAAGACTTTTTGAACATCAGCCTAGCTACCACCATCAGTTCTTGTTCACATACCTACTCACTTCTTCAAAAAATCCAATAAAATAATTCTTTCTTAATGAAACCCAGCCATTTTTCTTTTAAAGATGTTATTTCATTGTCTAAATATATGGTGGTTCCTCTCTCTTTTTAAGATCTTGATAGCTGGACTTTATGGAAGTTAGACACCCACAGGTTTGTGATTCACTGGGCTCCTATAGTTTCACATATGCCTTTTTCAGGGAACTATTTGGACTTCAGAATCTTCTTCAATATTCTTCTCTGTAAAGACCAATGCAAATATCATGTTATACTGAACCTAAGACACCAGTGGTTGTAAGATGCACCACTATTATGTACCAGTAAGACAGAATAAAATGCTGCCAATTAAACTCTATTCCAAATTTCTTCACAAGTAGAGTATCCAACTCCTCTGAGTCCCTTTTCAACTCAGAAATGGCACCTTTGTTCCCATTTTTTGTATGATATTGGTATCCATGTCATCAAGAGCATTGAGAATGCAACACTTATTTATTTATTTATTTATTTATTTATTTATTTATTTATTTATTTTTGAGACGGAGTCTCGCTGTCTCCCAGGCTGGAGTGCAGTGGCCGGATCTCAGCTCACTGCAAGCTCCGCCTCCCGGGTTTACGCCATTCTCCTGCCTCAGCCTCCCGAGTAGCTGGGACTACAGGCACCCGCCACCTCGCCTGGCTAATTTTTTGTATTTTTAGTAGAGACGGGGTTTCACCGTGTTCGCCAGGATGGTCTCGATCTCCTGACCTCGTGATCCGCCCGTCTCGGCCTCCCAAAGTGCTGTGATTACAGGCTTGAGCCACCGCGCCCGGCCTGCAACACTTATTTATAAAACACTCTAATATTATCTTTGAATCTTCTTCCAAGCACTAACACTTGATCTAGAAGCATTGATGGTTTTACTTTTTAAAAAATCTAACCAGCAGATGACAACAGTAGATTTACTTTTTTTCCAGTAAATCAGGATTTACTTTTTCTTAGTTTGTTGACTGCAACTTTGAGGGGCTGAAATTGACCAGTTATGCCATTGTGACTAACAACAAAATTTATACTGCATGCACAATGATACGACATCCCAATGCCACCAGGCCAAGAGATGTCTGGGATGTTAAAATGTAAAATATGATTGTATTAGATTTGACAAAATACAATAACTCCTTTTGCATACCTGCCTTCTTGTCTTAGGTGATACCCTTACCTGATAATCTGAGCACTGCTTTCCTAGCTGACTGGGATAACCTTTATTAGCTCCTTTTCACTTTAGCTGAGCATCTTCTCAAATGCTCTACTGGGTTGTCCTTATTTCCATTTTATGTACAACCTACTCTACTTTGATAATATTCCTAATCCTTTCATTTCAGCTAGTTTTCCATTTTATGGTCATCAACTAGTAGAAAACAAAACAAAAATGAAAAGGTCAACCAAGATTTTGCATCTCAAAAGAAGACACACTTCATCTCTCACTGTTTTAAAGAAGAGCTGTACAGCTTTATGGTAAAGAGGCAGTTCTTAGCCAAGGCTGTCAAAAAAAAATAATTTGTGGAGATGTAGACTGCAGTGGGATAACATAAGACCCACTCACTCTGACTCTTGGAATGAAGGATGAGGCTTTCAAAGAAGCAGGCATTTATATCTTTCAAAAAGTTCCACAGATTAATGTGACATGTCATCTAAGTTGCAAACCCTCAGGAAGAGAAGGAAATTAGGCATTTTCCAGTTCATCTAGGGACAGCTCTATTGGCACATACAAACATAAATTTGAAATTAAGAGGGCTTAAGTCTAAGTGGGCTGCAAAAATGAATCCCCATGGACAGACCATGCTTGTATTCAAACCATGATATTCACACCATCCCGTACTCAACATGATTCAGTTAAGGGCTGTGATGGACACTATGATGACCAGACATGGGAATGGGTATGGTGAGAGCATAGGCATAAAACAAAGGATGAGATTTCCTTTTATCGACATCCCAACATCCCAACTGATGCCTGGTCTGAAGAAACAGAGAAAGTGATCTTTTCCTCCATTCTCCAGCCATAGTTTTCTAGGTCCATTTCAGGGGCAAGATGACCTACAGATAATTAAGAAATAGTTTCATGAATTGGGGATATCTTATAGCTTTAGAGTGGAGAGTGCTACTAATGAGGGCTTACACTTGGAAAAAATTCAAATCCCTACACCAAAGGGCTCAGAAGGCAGGTTATGGCTGTGGCAGAGCTCTGACATCCTCTCCTGATCATCTCCATTTTTGGCAAAAGTTCTTCTGAATTTTAGATAGATATTAAGATCCCCCATGTTGCCTGGGTAAAGCAGATAATTGGTGATTCTACTGTTAGCTCTATTGCCTTTTAATTGTGCCAGGGAATTCAGAATGCAGTACCAACTCCAAATCCCAGATCACCTCTTGCTCACCTATAGATCCAGAGACCTCTTGTTTGTGACCATGGAAGAGTATAAGAGTGATTGTCTCCTGTAAACTTCTTTTCCTTCTGAGCCTAAAGTAGACGCTGGAAGCAAGAACACCAAAAGCACAAATCATTGCAAATCGGTGCTGATGGTTCAAATATTTATTCTGTCCTTTTATTTTGGACAAACACTATGTGCCAGGCCCTTTATATACAGTCTCATCTATTCCTCACCACAACCTTTGTAGACATCATTATTCACCCCTATTTTACAAAGAGAAAACAGACTCAAGTTAAGCAACACCCCCAAGATTACAAAACAAGTAAGTGCTGAATCCAGGAATTAATCTGAGATCTGATTCCAAAGTCAAAGGTCTCTCATATGTTGGATGTATTTGAAAGGCAGTGAGGAAAAAATATGTATTGATGGATGGATAGCAGGACGAGTAGATGGACAGATATCATAACATAAATATAATAGAGGGCATATTATAGAAGCTATGTGGTCATTACATGGGTGTTCAATGAATGAGTCTTTAAACTGTTTGTATGTTTGAAAAAAATTGAAATAAGTTAGGGGTAAAGAAGAAAATTGTGAGGAATTCAGAGACATTGCCAATTAAACCTTCTTGTAAGCATCTGTCTCATGTTTCACTAACTATGTGTTTTAGAATTTTAAGCTAATTTAGTTTGACAAATATATGTTAAGGCTTTATTATGTAATAGGCACCAAAATACCTGCCAGCCTAGGATGCTACGTTCATTGTAGGTGCTGGGGCTGCACAAGATGGAGCTCTTCTGGGGTTTACAAATTAGCAGCTGACACTATCGTGACCAAAAACCTGCAATACAAAGGTGACTTGATAAAGGGCTATCATGGATGTGTGAGGTGCTGAAGGAGCATGAGGATGGATAAGATAATAATAGCTAAGAGGTTTGGAAAACTGTCAGGGAACAGACAAAATTGAAATTGCACCTTAGAAACTGGGGAAGATGTCAAAAGGACAGGAAGAGGAGCAGTATCTGAAGTAGGGGCTTTGGAACAAAGGCACAGAGGTGGGACAGGGCCTGTGAAGAATGCACAGGAAAAGACGAGACTGTTGGAAAAGAAGGAAGGAAGTGCTGGGCATTACCCACCAAAATATGGAACCAACTTTCACAAAGGAAATGTTTGACAATTATTAGAATTCTCTCAGATTTCACTTTGTTGAGTCTTCGTTTACTTATCAGTAAAGTGGGAATAATATCTGGTCTCACATATACTATTTAAAGGATTAAATGAGGAAAAATGGCAGAGGTTCCTAGAAGAGTGCCAGCCACATATCAGCACTTACTAAGCAATGCAGACTGAGCTACACCCACGAGCCTGGGGCTGCACATAAACTAACTACACAGCAATAGTCAAGATTTGTATTAGGCTGTAAGACAAACCTTGATTGGAATTGTTACAATTCTCCTAAATTCCAGAAAGGAGGAGCTAAATAGTTTTGTCAGGTATGACTGATTTTTTTAAATTAACTTATTGATTGAATGACTGGTTTTACTTTGGGTTCAGGACTCAATCAACAAATTCAATTGTACAAGAAGTGAAACTATTTTTCTGTAACCACTTATCTATTTTGAGCCTATCTTCAGTGTTAGAACCTAATTTCCTTCAATTCTGCACCCCCACTCTTTTCACTGGTTTCCAGGGGTCTTACGCTGTACCAGAGCAATGGGTGGAGATAGCATCACACATCTCTTTGTGATGCTATCTCAGCACCAGCCTTGGCTGATATGACCTTATTCCTGGTGGGTTTTCACCACTGAGCTGTTCCCCAGCATGAGACTCCTTCAGACATGGCACATTTTCTCTCAACTGTTGCCAAGCCCCTTGTTGGCACAGGAAACTTTACTGCACTGCTTTCAGGCCACAGGGGCACCAGGAAGCTCTGTGGGTCCTTCATTACTATTCTGGTGGGACTTTTGGGCACAGAAGACTCATTCTAACACTTGTGAGCTGTGCTGGGGTACACTCAGTTCTTTGAGGCTGGCTCCGACCATCTGTCCCCTGGATACCACTCAGCCATTTCTGTTGTGGTTTTTGCAGTCTTCTTGAGCTCTGCTTGGAGGTGATGACAACCCCAATCCATCTTCAGTTCTGTCGTCCACAACCCTCTCCTCTGGGGAGCAGGGTGTAGAGTCTTTTTCTCAGAGGAGAAGGGAGCCACCAGCATCTAAGAGCTGTCTCTGCTTCCTCTTCCCCTTCCACCTTCCCTTCCCTCCTCCCCACCAGCATCTAACAGTTCCCTTTCCTCCCCTAGCCCTAACACTGTCCTCACAGCACACCTGAAAAACTTCAGGTCCTACAAGGGGTGGGAAGCCTTATATCAGTTCAGCTTAGTGTCTCTATGCCAAGTGCCCTCAGGGTCTTGACTTTGGAAAATCAAAAGGCTTTTTTTCTTGCTCTCTGGTGAAACTTCTTCCTGATAGAACAAATGATATCTAAATGGGTTTGGGGGAGGCGGCAAAGGCAACAGGAGCTGCCAGCAGACGAAAATCAGTTAATATATTTAAAATATTCTGCCAGTGTTCTCATCCCTTTAAATTGACTTCATCCTTTGAACAAGGTGGGACATTTTTCCTGCTAGTTCTTATGTCTCAGAATTTCATTTCCAGGTGACCTGCTGCAGACTGGGCTAGAGTGGCACTAGGTGGCCCTAATACTTACAGAAGACGAATCACACTTCTTGAAAGCTGCCTTACCCTTAGAGTTATGGCTGACTCCCTGGAGGTTTCTTCAAGAAATTCAGCCGATGGCTCCCCAAGTTGCTAATCACCAAAGTGCATGATACTTTAGAAATAACACTTGATTTCTAGTATTTGTATGGCTGGTGTGCCTCCTGTACAGTCTTTGAAAAATTATAACACAAGATCCTTTAGTTGGGGCTATGTGCTTCACAAGTTTCATGTGCTAGTAATCACAACAGGGAATTAAGTATTGCTCATACTGCCACCTGTTCATGCACAGCTTCTTTCTGGCCTTGCTGGTAAGATTTCTGCTCCTTCTCATCCTTTAAGGCGTGTCTTTAGCTTGATGCTGGAGTAATTTCTTTTGTTTCAGTTACCCTCTCTGGGTATGATAGTCTTCTATATCAAGCTTGGAGCCTGAAAGAGAAGTAACTTGTTGGTTTAAAAAAAAAAAAAAAGATAAAAGTCAAAGATCAGGATGTTTGAGAAAAAAAAAAATATTAACTTGGTTCTTTTCTTCACTAATTACTCTCCCCAAACAAGACCCCGAAGAGTTTCATTTCTAAAACATAACTCTCTATATTAAGAAGACTCCCAGTTCAGGTTGATAAATACCCATAAGGTCTATCTCTCACCATGAACCTGCACAGGCAAGGGGCAGAAAACTCTCTTTCCATTAAGCACTAAGAAACTTTCCTTGTCACAATTAAAGTCCTCTTTGGTGGCCAAGGATTTATCAGCAACCTTGTTCATAATGATCATCTTATGAATGGTGACGGAGAAAAATAAATCACTTCCTCTTGCTAATAAATTGCTCCAGTTGCTTCAAAATGGCAGACTTTCTGCTGAAATGAACCTTCCCTGGGCCAATAATAATATTCCTAGAGAAAAACTGGGTAAGTGAGGGGTTGAAGTGGGGTGGGGCCCATATTTCCAGCATCTGAAGGGAAACCGCAACACATGGCTTCATCACCTTACCTATATTCTTCAACAGCCCCTAGAAGAGATGCTGACCTCAGATAAGCTGAGGTTCACCTTCACCCATCCAAAGAGTTACATCTTAATTATTCAGTTGAACTTTTATTATTTAGTAAACAAGAATATAAGCGCCCAACATTTGGTGTTTTATCAATTACAGCCTTTGTCTTAATTCTGTACAAAATACACAGAAATTTCTCTCCCAACAACATCCTCCCTCAAAATAAGCATATGCTTAAAAAAAAAAATCACCTAACCAGACTTTTTCCAAGAAGCACATATAGTCCTTTTTATTCAAGGTAACATGCAGACCTGTTAAACTTTTTTTTTAATTTTTTAAAATTTGAAGTCTTCTCTGAAGACTTCAATAAAGGGAGCTCATATGCCTCACCCAGTCTGCCTGACTTAAAGCAGCGTGAGGCAAGAATCATCCACATGCAGAGTTAAACAATGAAATTTTCCAAGTATATGCACGCTGTGAGAATCAATAACCTCTTCTCAAACGAGCAAATTGGTCTCAAGTATTCGGTTCACTGGTTACATCCAACAGCCACAATAAGAGGCCACCTCCCGAGTGAAAGGGAAGGTGAAGATGAATTCTTGAAAAATGCGTTCTCACCAGAATTCTTGTGCTTCTTACTGCATGGATGGTATTTGTAAAACTCTTCGGAAAGAACACTGAGTTTAATTTCAGGCAACCTTTTTTGTTGATTTTTTTTCACGAACTTTAATTTTCTTATGTGAACTGTGATATACAAAGGCAATCACTTTCAGTATAAAATTAAGAATGGCAAAAGTAATTTTATAAAAACTACTGTAGAAATAACATCATCCAATTAAATTTATAGAATATGCCCAAAAGAAAAATGTAAGAATATTCACATGAAGAAATACTAATCTAGTGCTCAGAAGACCAGAATACGTACTCCAGGGGCGTCAGGGGCAGGAACTAGGAAATAGAGATAAAAGTTGCTTTTTGAGACATTTCTCGCCTTAACCCTGAATGCTTCATGCTCCTAAAGAATCCAGTTATGGAAACACAAATTACCTCATCCTCAGTTTCACTTAAAATACAAAAAACAGGTTACACTTTCTTCTTTTTTTATTATTTTTCTTTGAGACGCAGTTTTGCTCTTGTCACCCAGGCTGGAGTGCAATGGCACGATCTCAGCTCACTGCAACCTCTGCCTCCCAGGTTCAAGCGATTCTCCTGCCTCAGCCTCCTGAGTAGCTGGGACTACAGGCACCCACCACCACGCCCAGCTAATTTTTGTATTTTTTTTAAGTAGAGGTGGGGTTTCCCCACATTGGCCAGGCTGGTGTCGAACTCCTGACCTCAGGTGATCTGCCCACCTCGGCTCCCCAAAGTGCTGGGATTACAGGCATGAGCCACCGCGCCTAGCCACAGGTTACATTTTCAAGTGTTATTAAGTTGTTTATACAAAGTTAAAGTCATAAGCATGACTTCAGGATCTGTGCTTTTTATGTCAAGTGCTCCTCTTTGTTGGAATTTTAACAATAAAGTTTTTTTCAGAGTGCTGTGCAGTATCTCATTTCATGAAAATAATTCATGGCATAATTTGATGTTTTCTGGCTTAGATTTCTCTTTGCAGCCAGGCTATCCTTTCTAAAATAAAACTGATATTCTCTAGAAAGGTTTGCCTGAAGCGATTGCTGTTTCTACTGAGCTATGTTCTGGGAATATTTGTCAGAAAATCTGGTCATTGAAAGCAGAATTGTCTGTGTCCTTCATTCCCAAGCAAATAACCTGTGTTTTCTCTTTTCTCCCTTCCTTCCCTCTCATTCCCTGAGGGCATCCACCCTTCTCTCCAGCAATCCCTGTGTGTCATCACCTCCTCAAACTGACTTTCCTCCCATGCTCTCAGAGGGCTTCTGTTCCAATCCTTCTACCCTTGGAATCTCCTTTTCTTTTCTTCCTCTTGACATGGAATGTTAATATAGAAATTCTTGCAAAAATATGGCTACCTTTATAGTCTAGATAAAAGAAAAATCTTCCTCCTAACTTGTGTTTCTTTAAATTTTTTTGGGGGGGTTGTTTCCTAAGTTCTGGGATACATGTGCAGGGTGTGCAGGTTTTTTACATAGGTAAACATGTGCCATGGTGGTTTGCTGCATCCGTGAACCTATCACCTAGGTATTAAATCCAGCATGCAGTAGCTATTTTTCCTGATGCACTCCCTCCTGCTGCCATGCCACAGTAGGCCCTGGTGTATGTTGTTCCCCTCTCTGTCTCCATGTGTTCTCATTATTCAGCTCTCACTTATAAGGGAGAAAACGTGGCGTTTGGTTTTCTGCTCCTGAGTTAGTTTGCTGAGGATGATGGCTCCCAACTCCATCCATGTCCCTGCAAAGGACATGATCTCATTCCTTTTTATGGCTCCATAGTATTCCATGGTGCATATGTACCATGTTTTCTTTATCCAGTCTATCACTGATGGGCATTTGGGTTGGTTAATGGGATCACTGATGGGCAATTGGGTTGATTCCATGTCTTTGCTACTGTGAATAGTGCTGCAGTGAACACACATGTGCATATATCTTTATAATAGAATGATTTATATTCCTTTGAGTATAAACCAGGTAATGGGATTGTTGGGTCAAATGGTGTTTCTGGTTCTAGATCTTTGAGGAATTGCCACACTGCCTTCCACAGTAGTTGAACTAATTTACATTCCCACCAACAGTGTAAAAGCATTCCTATTTCCCTGCAACCTCACCCGCATCTGTTGTTTCTTGACTTTTAATAATCGTCATTCTGACTGGCATGAGATTGTATCCCACTGTGGTTTTGATTTGCATTTCTCTAATGATCAGTGTTGTTGAGCTTTTTTCATGTTTGTTGGTGGCAGAAAAGTCTTCTTTTGAGAAGTGTCTGTTCATGTCCTTTGCCCACTTTTTAATGTGGTTGTTTTTTTCTGGTAAATTTGTTTAAGTTTCTTGTAGACTCTGGATATTATCCATTTGTCAGATGGATAGATTGCAAAAATTTTCTCCCATTCTGTAGGATGTCTGTTCACTCTGATGATAGTTTCTTTTGCTGTGCAGAAGCTGTTTAGTTTAATTAGGTCCCATTTGTCAAATACTTGCTTTTGGTGCAATTGCTTTTGGCATTTTTGTCATAAAATCTTTGCCAGTGCCTATGTCCTGAGTGGTATTGCCTTGGCTTTCTTCTAGGATTTTTGTAGTTTTAAGTTTTACATTTAAGTCTTTAATCCATCTTGAATTAATTTTTGTATAAGGTGTAAGGAAGGGGTCCAGTTTCAATTTTCTGCAGATTGCTAGCCAGTTCTCCCAGCACCATTTGTTAAATAGGGAATCCTTTCCTCATTTCTTGTTTTTGTCAGGTTTGTCAAAAATCAGATGGTCGTAGATGTGTGGTCTTACTTCTGAGATCTCTATCTTGTTCCATTGGTGTATGTGTCTGTTTTTGTACCAGTACCATGCTGTTTTGGTTACTGTAACCTGTAGTATAGTTTGAAGTTGGGTGGCATAATGCCAGCTTTGTTCTGTTTGCTTAAGATTGTCTTGGCTATATGGGCTCTTTTTTGGTTCTGTATAAATTTTAAAATAGTTTTTTTCTAATTCTGTGGAGAATGTCAATGATGGTTTAATGGGAATAGCATTGATTCTGTAAATTACTTTGGACAGTATTTTCTACTTAAGCACACGTACTTTCAAAGGGACATATATGGAAGAAAAGGAAAAGGGACCTATCCTAGCTAGCATATCACAGGGCTCATAAGCAGCTTCTTCCTTTGAATGGTCTCTGGGCTCTCCTCCATTCCCATCACTCTGGCCCACCCGACACTCACTACTAGAATTGCAGACATCAGAACATGGCTTGATGATATCTTTCATCCATGAAGCTCTGGAAATTGCTAGTAATTAGAATTCTCTTTCCTTTCATAGCCTCCAAATCCTTCTCAAAGGTCATAGGACTTAGTAAATGTTAGGGCTTAAAACTACTATTTTAGGGACACCTCATCCATTCAACAGGCCTTTATGGACTGACCTAGAACTATTACTAACACTAATTTATTTTATTTACTGATAACCTTATACCCCTATTTGTTAAAGGAATTTTAGCATTATTAATAGCATTGTTGATGACAAGCCTAGCACCTAAGAAAAACTATGAGTTAGAACCAACTGAATTATACACCTAATCTTTGATAGAGTATAAAAATTGAAGGCTCCTCCTTGTCTGTTTGCTTGCTTTTCACATTTTTTACCTTTCTGCATATTTATTTATTCAACAAATATTTGATAATCGCCTGCTACACATTCTATTAGGCGAGGTGACTAAAACAACAGGCTAAAGCAGAGAGCTCCTGCCCTTGTGGAGCTTACAGTCTAGTAGAATAGACAGACAACCAAATACTGGGGAAGGGGGAGTACAACTGCTACAATAACAAATG